CCTAACTCATGGTTAAGCATATCGACATACCGACCAGTGTTGGTTTGAAATGAGTACTCATGATGGAAAGCGTATTCGGCTAGTGCAGGCTGTACTGTGTGAAGCCTTCACCGGCGTTTTGTTCACTTCGCTTTCTCGGAATAAGCTCCTGTTATTTGCATACTCGTCCTGCTCCGTCTTTACTGTTGTAGACCAGCCTACATTATAATCTAGCAGTGTCAGACACAAAAGTTACTCATTTTTGAAAAACAGTCACTTTCTGTTTGCTTTTACAAGCAACCATGTTTATAGTTTTTATTGTTCATTCTAACGCCGCCGTTCCTATTTCCTTCCAGGAGCCCAGAAATAAACGAAAAACGAAATGCGCTATAGCAGTCCCAGTGGCTTGGAGTGAAATTGGTCGAGAGATGAATCCTGCTTCGTAAGAAAGATCCCTAGAATGGCGGATTTGCTCGTCCCTCGCCACACAAATATCGCCTGAAGAAGCCGGATGAAATTCACGTATACGTAAAGCAGCTTATGCATACGCTAAGGCGAAGTGAACATAAGCGTTATAAAACTGTTAAACGATGCAATAGACATTGAAAATCACTGCTGTTCTGCTTATAGAGGTAAATGCGAACAAGCAGCGTATACGCTTAATGTTTTTACTATTCACGGGATTGCAGTGCATAATGATTGGATCCTTAACTGGCACAGCATCTAGCCACAGCCTAGAAAGGTATCATTATTTATTTATTTGTATTTAACATGTTACACGTCGCACCCAACCACACAATCGCCCACCTGACTGCTGTATCAACACCATCCAAACGTCAGCCTACTAGAGGGACGCTCTTTCACTGCACCTGAAAACATACCGTTTCGGTTTAGTAACATAGGAAAGTAATGAACAAAAACAACTACTTTTATTCACCAATTCATCGAGGTATCCAAAACATCTATTTGTTTTGCGGAATTGCTTTGATAGGTCCTTGCTTCAGCGTTCAGTGCCCATGATAAATCACTTTCTAGTTCTTGTAGCACGTAAAATACGCCTTTTGTCCAGCTGCCCGCTTATTTGCTACTCTTCCTTTTCATTGCTAACGACTATAGTACCAGGAGCCACCCAACAAAATATTTACATGCATTTCATGAACACGCTGAAATAGCTACATGTTGTGGGGCAGAAAAGTGTAAGTTATGACAATAGGATACTTTAGTTCGGTGGGTAAACGTGTTATCTTTAACCATTTATCCTTAAATGGCTGTATTCTCAATTAGTTACCTACCAGGAATATTTACTGAATTTTCACTAGCATATGTTGCCCTTAAAATGTTTTACGGCAACCCTCAGGTTTAAATTTTTCTGGATTAAATACTAAGTGCACCGTTGATTTTAAACATACCACACATCCTCTAAGGACTGACTGCACTATTAAGAGGCCTAAACATTCTTTGCCACCTTCTGAAAGCTAGGGCGCTTATAAATTCGCCTTATTACAAAAGATGCTTTATGTTAAATGTTTCAGTTACAGCGACAGCAGAAATGTTTATGTTGTTCTAATAGCCGACTACTCAAAGGTATTGCCAAGATGGTATGCGCGGGGTGCTCAAACGACAAACATATCTTGTAGAGTAACCGCTGATGGGTCCTGCTTAACTGACAGTTGTGTCCGTGGCCGACCATTTGCGACACATTTTACACAAACTTCGGTTAATCAGAAAAAGGTTTAGTGTATGTGTTACATGAAGGCCATTTTCCTGGTCGCGAATTTTCGCCACACTTTAGCGGGTTTTACTTTTTTATTCGCAGTGAGGCAGTGCTGAATATGTATTTGTCTAAACAACACATGTCGTGTGACATAATATCGTTCCAGATGCGTCTATCTGAGAAGATCAATGGCTCAAAATACGGGCACGCTGTAACAGCAAAACAACCATTTGCGCTTTTATAAGTACCATTTTAATTAACATGAAGACTTGCTAAGTAAACCTCCGGTGTTAACGACTTTTTCACTATTTACTGACGACGTATTATAACGATTATTTAACTGTGCAAATGCACAAAACAACAGCAGTCGCCGAAGCTTCGCTATATAAAACATTCGCTGGATGTACTGAAAGTGCTATAATCAAGCAAATTCGACTCTGGACATAGCTGTAGCGCTTGTACATATCTTTCTTCCCAATTGTACTTTCCTATTCTCACTTCCATTATTATTGTACAGTTTTGTTTTAACTGACCAACAACCGATAAACACTTTTTCGGGTTTCGATTCGCCTTCTGGTTTTCGCTACGCGTGTTGTGCTGTTGGTCGTCGTCTGTCTGCTGGCCTCGTCCATCGATCATCGGATCTAACGCGTCGATTTATTGTGCCGACTAAGTTCCGTCTTCCGACCAGATTGTGCGACTAACTGACAGCCTAGCGAAGATCGTGCCTTACCTAAGGTCAGCTACAGCATTCTTATTTATAGACTGAGTTCTTATATGTAGTTAAGCCCTTTCCGTTTGGCCTTTCCACTACATATTTGGTGACCCCGTTTTCTTTTTTTGAAAGCTCAGAACTCCTTTTTGTGTGACTTGACTATGTCGGACCACGATCCCCGCACTGACATTTCAGAAAATTTTGTTGGTTTCTCCTTCCCTGCCTTCGATTCATCTAATCCTCATGTGTGGTTTTTACAGTTGGAAGCTCTTTTTCGCATACGCCGTATTACTTCTCAGTCCTTAATGTTCGCACATGTCACTGCCCAGCTTCCTACCCACATCGCAACTGACCTTATAGACTTGCTCGATCCGATTCCGGCTGACGCACCTTACGACAAACTCAAAGCCGCCGTATTAAAGCGCACTACGGCCTCCGACGAAGCTAGACTTCGACAATTACTTTCCGGTCTTGAACTAGGCGATCGCACGCCGTCACAACTTCTCAGGCACATGCGTACGTTGGTCGGTTCCTCTAAGGTCGATGACACGATTCTGCGACAGCTCTGGACGAAATGTCTTCCATCGAACACCTCAGCTCTTCTCGCCGTCTTCGCAGATGATTTGTCTTTGGACAAGCTGGCTGAAACAGCAGACAAAGTTCATGAGCACTTTCATCAACCCTCAGCATGTCACGCAGTTGAGTCGACCGCTAACGCGGATCTTAGGACTGACCCGATTGAAACCATTTCTGAGAGGTTATCGAAGCTGGAGCTCGCCATCTCGAGCATTAATCGCTACCGTGGTAGAAGCCCTAGACGCTCCTCTCGAAGTAGACGTAGTTCCGCCAGGAGTTCGAAACGTCATTTCTGTTGGTACCACCACCGTTTTGGCGATGATGCAAGGAATTGCCGACCTGGTTGTAACCATCCGAAGTCATTCCACAAACCGCAGCAGGGAAACCTCTACGCCAGCCAGTGATGGCGACGGCTGCGTCTGGCCAATCTTACAGTCGCCTACTTTACGTCTACGATTCCTCAACCAATTTGAACTTCTTGGTTGACACCGGTGCTGAGGTCAGCGTTATTCCACGTTCTGCAGAAAAACGCAACCTACTTCCAACCGGACTGACATTGCAGGCGGCGAATAATACCAAGATCCAAACGTACGGCCAGAAAATGTTAACTCTTAACCTTGGTCTTCGTCGATGTTTTCCCTTTGTTTTCCTTATCGCTGACATCCAACGCCCCATCCTTGGTGTTGATTTTCTTACCAAGTTTGGCCTGATCGTGGACCCGCGTAACCGTAAACTGTGCGATAGTTTGACACACTTGTCCGTTTCGGGTAAAGACAATTCGATCAGTTCGATCGGTCTTCGCTTGGCATTGCCCGCCGACAATGTGTTTACCAAACTATTACTGCAGTTTCCTGCTCTTTGTCAATCGTCTAATGACTTTCCTGAGCCTAAGCACGAAGTTACGCACCACATCTTAACACATGGGCCGCCAGTAACCGCCCGACCTCGACGAGTACCTCCAGACAAGCTCGCTACTGCCAAGGCAGAGTTCGAACATATGCTTCGTCTCGGTATCGTTCGTCCTTCCAATAGCCCATGGTCCTCCCCGCTTCATATGGTTCCCAAAAAGTCCAGTGGCGACTGGAGACCTTGCGGAGATTACCGGGCACTAAACAATTCCACCGTTCCCGATAGATATCCGATTCCGCACATTCATGATTTTTCAACTGGTTTACATGGAAGAACAGTTTTCTCTAAGATTGACTTGGTGCGTGCATACTACCAAATTCCGGTTGCTCTCGACGATATTCCGAAGACCGCTATAACCACGGCATTTGGTCTTTATAAAATTCTTTCGCATGCCATTTGGTCTACGAAATGCCGCACAGACTTTCCAAAGGTTTATCGATCAAGTCCTTAGAGCGCTCGACTTCGTCTACGCCTACATTGACGATATCCTTGTGGCCAGTTCCAATCATGATGAGCACCTGTCACATCTCCGATCGATGTTCGAACGCTTTGCTCAGTACGGCGTTACGATCAATGTTGACAAATGTGTGTTTTGGCCAAAGTTCTGTTGGTTTTTTGGGCCACCGAATCGATTGCAGTGGCATTAGTCCACTCCCCGAGAAAGCACAAGCGATTGCAGACTACCCCATGCCTCAATCTTTCAAAAGTCTCCGTCGTTTTCTCGGCATGGTGAATTACTATAGCCGTTTCATACCAGATTGCTCTGGGCTACTTCAGCCATTGACCGATTTACTTAAAGGCAGGTCACGAAAATTCGAGCCAACTCAGGAAGCTATCGATGCATTCGACAAGATCAAGCACGCGTTGTCCAACGCTACCGCCCTTAGTCATTTGAAGGCTGATGTTGACACCACTTTGATCCTCAAGACTGATGCATCTCAGACCGCCGTTGGGGCTGTTCTCCAGCAAGTAATCAACGGTCAGCCTGAGCCGCTATCCTTTTTCTCTCGTAAACTCCAGCCAGCACAGACGCGATACAGCACATTCGGTTGAGAACTTTTAGCTATTTACCTCGCTATCAAACATTTTCGGCATCTGCTTGAAGGTCGCACTTTTACCATTCTTACAGACCATAAACCACTTGCCTTTGCTTTCCGTGGTTCATCCGACCGTTTCTCCCCAGAGAAATTCGTCATTTGGATTATATTTCACAGTTTTCTACCGACATTCGCCATGTCGATGCTGCCAATAACGTTGTCGCCGATGCCATGTCACGTATATGTCTTCACGAAGTTTCACAGCAGAAGATTAACTTAGAAGACATAGCAGCTCATCAGGAAGGAGATCCTGAGTTCGTGCAACTAAGATCAAATCCGTCGATCAAAATATCACAGTTGCCAATCCTTAACTCAGACTCCAAAATTTACTGTGATATTTCTACTGGCAAGCCCCGGCCTTTTGTCCCTCAGCAGTACCGCCGAATCGTCTTTGACCACCTGCATGGAATCTCACACCCGAGCATCCGAGCCACCGTCAAGCTAATTACTGATCGCTTCATTTGGCACAACATGCGCTCCGAGATCCAGCAGTGGGCCAAACATTGTATCACTTGCCAAACCAGCAAGATCCACCGTCACACGATTACCGTCCCCGGCACGTTTGCTCTTCCCGACGCTCGTTTCAAACATGTTCATCTTGACATCGTTGGACCCTTGCCTCCATCCAACGGTTTTGTCTACTTATTGACATGTGTTGATCGTTATACGCGTTGGCCACTTGCCGTGCCTTTACGTGATGCTTCTACAGAAACGGTGGCGCAACCATTCATTGAGAATCGGATTTCCGTCTTTGGCACACCAAACACACCACACGAACCCCAACCCACAAACAAACCAACACACCACCCCACACCACCATACGCCATCACACACACATACACGACCACCCACCACACGCCACCGACCACCACAATCTCACACACCCCCACCACATCGAAACAACACCACACCAAACCCACAACAACACCCAACCAACCCACACCAACCCCACCACACACACACCACCCCACCCCACACAACACCAACACACACACCCACCAACCACACCACACGCAACCACCACACACCCCACAACACAACCCAAACACCAAACACAACCACCACACACCCACAAACACCACACCCAACCACCACACAACACACACCAACCAAAACCACAACCACCCACCACCACAACACCACACCAACACACCCCACACCCCCCAACACCCAACACACACCACACAACCACAACCACCACCACACCCCACACACCAACCACCCCAACCCACACAACCACCCCACCCAACACACCACACACCCAAACCACAACCCCACACCACCACAACACCACCCACAACCCCACCAACCACCCAACCAACAACCACCCCACCAACCCAAACACCCCACACACACCCCACACCACAAACACCACACACCAACACACACCCCCCAACACACAAACACCCCAAACCCCCCCAACAAAACGCAACGCCATGACCAATCCACGACATACTCCATCCCCCAACGCACTACACAACTATCACCGAACCTCCGAACAACAAACACATCCGCCAGCCACTAATTACTACCGATTAGAGGGTCCCCAATTCCAAGTCGGCCTTGTTTTCGTGACATCATACACGCTTGCTCGGTGGTTCCACTCATACGGTACAAAACCGCCCTAATCAACACAGCTGCAAATGGCATCGGTGAACGGTTTCCAGCGTAACGTCAAGCAGCACTTACTGCGTCACAGTTCGAACTCCACAAGTGGACAGGAACCGTCTACCGATTATCCGTGCTTGGTAATTCGTAACACCATTAAAGAAGGACATTGGCTGATGTCCCAGCAGGAGTTGGTCTATGGCACTACTCGCGGCTTCCTGGAGAAATGGTTGCTAGATTTCTTCAAGGGATTACTGAAGAACAAGAAGTTGACTCCCGACCTTCGTACGTCTGCACGCCTGAGGACACACTGCAGTTCATCAATTCGGCCAACGCCACCCTCAGAAATCAGTCCCTGCGGAAGTCAAAACAGGGTACACCCGGATTTGCGCAGCATTGCCCCTTCGTTTCTCGTGCTGCGTCCGGATCCGTCCGTGACAATCCTCTGACACCGCCTTTACGAGGGCCCCCTTACAAGGTTGTTGCCCGGAAACGGAAAAGAGAAGATATAGAGTAAGTCTTTTTTTTATTTCGTGCTGGACATAGAAATGGTCTATCAGGGAGACTGTTGTCTATTGACCGCGCCTGAAGGCCGGCGTGTACATCGAGTGTCGCGATTCTATAACCGAATACCACACGGGACATGCCTGGGGGCACCGACCTAGGCCCACACTTCCCAAGATACGCCTCCTACTCAGGCCCATTGGTCCGGCACTCTCTGTTTCCCCACTTCTGCACCCAATCATCGCACGGACACAAACTCGAATCGCATCATGCTAAACACGCTTCGGAACACGTACACGTTGTGCTCCCATCCCAGACTCCGGAAATGACACCCAAAGTATCGAGTCTTTCGTCTCAGTGGATCTCAGCTCTAGGGGGGAGTTTCTGTAGCGCTATTGTACATATCTTTCTTCCCAATTGTACCTTTCGCTATTCTCACTGTCCATAATTGTATTGTAGCAGTTTGTTTTTACACTGACCAACAACCGATAACAAACACTAGTTGTTCGGGTGTTCGCATGCCGCTTCTGGTATTCCGCATACGCGTGTTGTAGCTCTGTTGCTCGTCGTCTGTCTGCTGGGCCTCGGCCATATTCGGATCATGCGATCTAACGCGCGTCGATTTATTGGTGACCGACGAAAGTTCCGTTCTTCCGTACCAGATTGTGCGGACTAACTGACAGACTAGCGAAGATCGTGGCCGTTACCTA